CACTTCTCGCCCCATCTGCTGTCGTGCAGCAGGTTTTTCCCCCTTCTTAAATACGTTATCCCAGAGGTGCTAACCCCGTCGCTGATGGGCTCGGCCTTGGCCAGCAGCGGGTCTGTCTTGGAGCCGGCTGGCATTGGCTCTGTCGGACATGGGGGGAGCTTCTGGCAGCTTCTCACAGAAGCCACCCCTGTAGCCCCCCCGCTACCAAAACCTTGCCATGCAAACCCAATACAAAAGCTTATGTGTTTATATCAGCTTTCGCCCTGGCAATTTATTCCCCTTAGCACATGTATATTCAAATCACCAGAGATCATTTAGCTGTGAGATTGCACAATTAGCTTTTAGTACACGTCTAAACTAGGGGCCTCTATCCCATTACATACGCCTTTTAGAACCACTGAGATCAGTGAAAGGGAACTCTAAAATGCTGCTCTTGTGGTTTGCAAGCATTTTACACTATTTTGTACTCCTGCTAGTGAAATGCTAGATCCCATGTGGCAGAGATTTGGTCTCTTTTTTACAGGTACATCTTTGTGTGTGATAGCTTCAAGTCTCTTTCTTCCAGAAAGTGATTTCTAATGCATGGGAAGGAAAGGCAAATGACTTCCTGCTTCCACCTCCTGCAAAGTGAGTTTGGTCCTTGTGATTCCATTCACCTGGTTGGTCTCATAGGAAATCTTCTCTAGACTTGAAAGAGGTTGCTCACATTCATTATGCTTAGGTATCTGGTAAGATACTCTTCATTTACAGCAGGTACTTCAGTAGCAATAAAGATTTCCGCAGGGGGCCAGGAAAGGGGCAAATACAATGTAATTCATTCTGTACGAGTCTGTGCTTTGGATCCTATCACAGCAAGTCTAGAGCCACAATAGTTTGGTGCTACTACTTTAACAAAACACTCTCAGATATATTAACAGCTAGCAATGTTTTTCTCTTTGTATTTCAGATCTTATTTTCTAACATTGAAGACATTCTTGGTGTTCACAAGGAGTTCCTGGCTGCCCTGGAATTTTGTTTACAACCAGAACCTCAGTCTCAGCATGAACTGGGAAATGTTTTCTTAAAATTTGTAAGTACAATGACTTAACGCTATCTGAAAATGCAGTTTCCTGTCATAAGCTCCCATACCCCTTAGCTAGCCCTAATCTCTAAGGCTTGTGACAATACTATGACAATGTGTGTCTTGTATGAAAGTTGTAGGTAGGGTGGGAAAAAACTTGTGAATGAGGTTAGAACAATGGAAACCACATCAAACTCAGCTAAACAACGAGGTATTTTTAGAAACTCTTCCTTTTCCCATTGAATTTTTTTTTCCTTTTTTTCCTCACCCAGCTGATCACATTTCATTGCTGAGAATTTGTCTGCTTTGGTTCCAAATGTTTCAAAAAAGCAGCACAATTTCAAGTAAATGAATAATTTTTGTGTGTATTTTAAAATTTTAAAAAATTGAAACAAAGATCAAAATTAAAAACAAAGGACAATACATCATTTACAATAGTTAGTGTCTGTGCATATATTTATCCTTCAGTCAATCAAAGGTAGTGTGAGATGGCTTATCTTGCAGAAATGCAGCACAAGTTACAAGACACAGACTTTTACCATGGAATAAATGAGTACCTGCATTCTGTAGCTCAAAAGTAAATAAAATCTGGCTTTTGGACTCATAATGCTAGCTCAAGAATGCCAGAGATACAAAATGCGAAATAGTCATATGATACAAATTCACTCTGCCAGTTCCAGGTTGTTTAGAACATTTTGACGAGTTACTTTTGTGTCATCTGACTTTATGCCTGATAGCTATATTATTTGTTCTCCTACTACATCCATAATATGATCATGTGTGCTAACCTAATCAGTCAGATTGGTGCTGCTAGGTGATCCAGGAAAGCACAGACCCATACTAAGGGTCATGCAATTGCAGCTTGTGATCCTACCATTGCTTCTGTCATTGTAATTTGTTTCTTATACTGTGAAATACTTCCTGTGGTAGATTTTTGTTTTGTTTTTTTTTTAACTTGGCCCGATTTTTAGTCACGTATGTGTGCCATCCTCTGACTAATACATATATAGAGCATACTGTATATGCAAGATCAGTTATTATATACATCTAGTTACAAGCTGGACTCATTTAAATGCAAAGTTACCTAATTTACATATACCATAATTTGAAGTTGCACACTTTTTTCACTTGCAGCAGCTCTCCTGAGATGTTTGAAAATTAGAAAGCATGTACATAATAGCCATTTTTTCAAATTCTTATTAACTGCATTAAGCCACAGGCCAACTTCCTATCAAAGTATGTTCTATTACGCTTTCGTAATCAAAATTCATGCTTTCACAGTTCATCAGGTTTGAGCGGACAGCAATTATACAGCCATTCATTACTCACAGAGCTTTACCAACTACCCCCCCTTGTTTAATTTTTATTTATGCTGTGACAATTATTAAAATAGTGTCAGAAAGTGTTATATTGAGACCATGCCCAAAAATTGTATCGGATGTGAGGACTGACTGTCAGCTGCTGAAAAACATACTGGTGAACTTAGTTAAAGCCTTGAATACCCGCTAGAATCATTGCCTCCCAACAAGATGTGCTCTACTAATATATTTTAGTATTCGTTAGCAAGGGTATCAAAATTAGAGGGCTTTTGAATGATGCTGTCAGATTGTCTACTGTGTTTGAGTGGTGCTGAATAACCAGAAATGTTAACATCCTGTCATTTGACTGAATTAAAGCCTGGTATATGTAGTCATTGGTAGTGTTTTCTTGTATATGAACATATAATTTTGTAACTTTATTATTGTTAAATGTAAGAATTATGTAATGTTCCTTGTTTATCAAACATGCAACAATACAGGAATTATGAAACTGTGATGCATAGGGATGAGTGCTGGTGAGAATTTGTCTTCTGATAGAGACAGTTTGACTGAGATCAGCTTACATTGCTGTTTGTGGAGTGCATTGCAAATCATGTGTACATCAGCTTTTTGTGATCCCCTAGGAAAGAAGCAGCTTATGTAGAAGGAAGTAAAACATATATTCGATTCAGAATATATAGAAAAAGCTGGTCTCATCCATAATTACTTTAAGGAAATGTAGGAATACCATTAATAGCATTGTGGTACCTCAAGTCTGAGTAAGAAACAGTCAACAGAAGAGTATCAAGAGAGGAGGAAATAATCTGTCCTTGCATGCAGATTGTGCCTAGGTTTTAGAAGACAAGCTTCACTGTGGATATTTAGGAGTGAGGGAGGTGGGATTTGTGCCCTGTCACAGTAAAGGCTTCCATAAGTGAGTCTCCAGCAAGTGTCGGGGAGATGCCAGTGGCAACTGTGGTTCAGCATGAGTCCTCGGTTCCTTTCTGCTCAGCTTCCAAAGCTCCGTTTCCCTAATTGGGGCTGTTCTGATGAAGCAGAGGCATTAATAAAAAACCTGTGCCTCAGAAACAGTACTCCTGAAGGTGTTTCCATGGTGCTGAAACCAGGTTTTTTTTTAAATGGTGTACAGTATTTTGCCACCACAAGAAGCCTGTGCAGCACACTTGAGGTTTCCTGTGGAAAAAGCCAGCTGTTCTCTTCCACTGATGCACTCCCGCAACATGGCTGAAGAGCTTTTTTCAGAGTGCACATTGTTAGCCAGTTTACCCAGGGAAAACATGGGTAACGTATTTCTTTGGTCTTTCATTTTGGGTAAGGTTCTCCTGTTGTGATGCGCTTAGAAGAAGTGCTGGGAAGAACACCCTCAGTGCTGCTTTTTCATTATCATCAAATCACGGTGTATCCTCAGGGGAGTTTGCAGTGAGGAAGTGACATAAGGCCTGTGAATCCTGAATGTATCAGTGTATCTTCTATCATGATCACCTGGCAATGTCATTCTTAGTCCTGATTATGAACCCAGTCCTTGTCAGCAGCCGGATGTTAGCACAGGTGCTTTTCTTCAGCAACTCAATGTTAAAAATGCTCATAAATTTGGTGAATAGCTTGAGAATTGTTGAAGCACTGTTTTTTCCAGACACTGCATTTCTTAGTGGTGCATGTTTTCTGTAAGTTTCCTTGTATCGTATATCCTTGATAGAGATCCCCAGATTCCCAATGTGGAGTTCCACCAGACTGCAGTGTTTGGGTCCTGTTCGTGAGATCTATGTATCCTAAATTTCCTCTAATCCACGTAGGCCTAACTCTTTTCCTGGTTTACCTTGGCCTAGAAGAGCCTCACTCAACAACAGTCCACTGATCTTCAGAAACTGGACACTGCTTTTAGTTGTTATGAGCCTCTAGGATCAAAGTTGATGCATTTATAATAATGCTAGGACATTCTCCCCTGGATCTCCAGTTCAGAAGGATTCAGTTCTTGAGTAACACCTGAAGCAAGCAAGCAGATTTTGCAAGGGTTCCAAAAGAGCAATCATTGCGCATTGGCTTTTTGAAGTATTTTAACAGATGATGAAATGCACTTGCTCTGATATTCAGGTGTGAAAAATTGTTTTACTTCAGAAGACAGACATTGTTTGCCCTAGTGTATTCCATTGGATTAGATGATCATGAGAAGTTCATTGTCTGATGCTAGGTGCTAGAATTTCTTCTGGAGTTTTAGTTCAGTATGACCATAACAGACAGTAAAGGATGTACTTAAACATTCATTCAAAATCAAATCTGCAGCCTTAAACAAAATGGCATGTAGAACAAGTCTTTAACATCAAAGAGAGCATATACACCAAACTTAGAATAATCACACCTCATCAGCATAGGCTCTTTCGTGCAGGTCATGAAAACGTATGACTGTCTGCAGAGCAGAAGGGCAGAGAATTGACAGATGCTTCATTTCTGATATTTTGATTTGCCATATTGCTAGAGGTTTGGTGATGTGATAGCTAGAAACTTCTTTGAGGGAAACGTGTTGTCTTCTCCTTCTCATTTTTAGGAGCAATGTTGCATGAGTGATCAGTTTTACGGTCTAAGTCATCACGGATCTTGTTTTGTTGAGAATTGTATCTTCTGTTTTGTTTAGGTTTTTCATGTTGACAAAATTGGTTTCAGCCTGCTTTGAAACAAGAAAATGCCGTGTTTTTTAAAAATATGTTCAAATGAAATTGCTACAATTTTCCAAATGTCTTATTTGCTTTTTCTAATAAAAACTATTTTCAAATTTGCACTAATTTGTGGGCAGTTCTAATGGACCCAAAATAACATATTTGGAGAATAAACTATTGGTTAAAGATTTATTTTAACCAGACTAAGAACAATATAGACTTATTTCTGTCACCAAAATCAGAAGGTCTAGCTGTGTGTCTAGCAGATTTGCTGAATAAGAAGGTGCCATTTTTATGTGGTCACATCTCTGACCATAATTGCACTTTAATACATAGTAACTGCAGGTTCAGAATTCCTGGGCTAACATCTGTAATTATGTAACTGATAATTTCCTCACCAGGAGATGGGAGAGTCCAGAACTGAATGTCACCCAGAGAGGAAATTAAACACTTCAGACACTGAGTAATTTAAAGCATAGTTTTCATATTTGTGGGTCTCATGCATGAAGGACAGCTGGAAAAGACTTGATGAAAGCACTCTGGTGTGTGTATAATTATTGTACTGACTTGAGCTTTAGCAAAGGGATTTTTTCATGATCTAAATATAACCTCCCAAAACTCCAGGCACTCAAAGCTGCAGTCAGAAACTTGAGCAATGACATTTTGTGTGCATTGGTGTAACGGATGCTCTTGTGTTAATGGTTACTATTTTTAGTTTGAAGCATACTGCTTGTGTGCATCCAGGGAGTTGAAGAGAGGTGAGAGGAGGAAATGTAGAAGAAACTCAGATATCTGTCTTCTCATTCTGTAACTCTCCAGTTTTTATGGTTGAAAACAATCCCATGCCTCTCAATTGCCTCTTTTATATTGTACTATGGACCCAGCCCTGCCTTTTCCTGCATCTGGTGGTCAGAAGCCTTTGTTTCTTTTCAGCTTCCCAGTATTAAACTCTAGTACTAATATGAACAGCTGTAGATGAAGGATAAAAGTCTTGAACATCTGCATTCCAGCTCTTTGCACATACTCTTTGTGGCTGTTGTTTTGTTTGCTTTGTACCATTGTTGTTGTGTTTGGACATACATCTATTTTTTCTCAATTCTTCCTTTGGAAGTACGAGGAGGGGAAACAAATTTCATCAGATAAACCAAACGCAACAGCATTTTACAGTCTCTGAGCATGTACATCTAGCCATTGAGCATCTGACCAGAATGTCAAATTCTCCCAAACTAATATTGACACAATTTCTTTTCCATTGACAATAGTGAAGTGAATGCCCAGTGAGCGCAGCTGTATTCCCGTGGATTCATCTTACTTAACTCCTTCAGTTGGCAGTAGTCTTGGATCACTATGAGTTGCCTTAAAAGTAGCTAGATGCTGCAGATATCTTCAGCTAAAACAGGAAGTTCTACAACTCTGAAGAGTGCTAGGAGTCCAATCAAAACTAAAAAAAAATTAACTTTCTAGTTCTGGGGAGATGAAAAAGTTCAGATAGAATGTTTTCAGGCCGGGATCCTAAGTAGAAAATTAATGATGTGAATGCCACAAAAAACTCTGGAGGGCATTGTCTACCTGGCATGGTGCCCTGAGATGCCAGCTCTGGAAGGCCTCGCATATTACCCCTGGCAGAGTGCCACACTAATGCATCTAAATTACTTTTGATATGCAAATTAGCTTGCCTGAGTATCTTTGCATGGCACTGCATTGTGGCATAGAAGCCAACCTGAACCAGGAAAGAAACTACTATTGTGAGAAGCACCCAAAAAATGATGGGTCTTTTTGGCTTCTGAATCATTTAACCTGACTTAAGCCTAAGGCAGTCTCTTGACCCCGCTTTTATTCCATCCATTGAATGCAATACTGGAATCTCATAACATAGCTTCTGAAAGTTCAGCCTTTCCCAACAGCCTTGAAAGGATCAACTCGCTCCTTACCTGATCTGCTCAGGCATGGAAATAGTTGTTACTGCTGCTTTTGTGAATCATTTCAGTGTTTCCAGATATCCAATGTTTGCAATGAGTTCAGCATCTCTGATCATTTTAGTTAGAAGTAGTTGCACTGTCTTTGATTCTGGGGATCAGTAAAGCAGAACTTGGTGCTGCCAGTTGACCCTTGTTTCTTAACGGGGGATTTCATTCCACTGCATGTGCTGGTGGGTGTGACATGTTCTAGTGTAAGTACCTCAATCTAGTTGTGAAGCTACCTTTCCCTTCCTTTAATTTCTGTAATATGTTGGTTATTTTGTGTGTATTTGATGAAATTCTTCCGTTTAGGGAAACTGCTGTGGACAGCTGACCCACTGTTTAGTGTTGCATCAAAATAGTGAAGTCTGCTGCCTGTTTCAGAACACAAAGTGAACCAGCCAACTCACTGGGGGTTCCCCCTCAGCCCTGAAAGGCAGGGGATTTCCAGCTGGTTGCTTTGTGTTACAGTTCCCGTTCAGATCTCTGAGCTTCTTCCAGGCCTTGGTTCTTCCCAGCCACCTCTGTTTCTTCCTCCTGCAGGAGTGGTCAGCACAGCTCAGAAATGTCTCCTGACTTTACTCTGCTCCTGGCTACAATGCTAGAGTATCCTGACACACACACAAGTATCCCTGAGATAGCAAAATTCTTTCTTTCAGCAAAGAATATATTATTTCAGTGATGCATTAAGAGGAAAAGTGCTTGGAAGTCTCTGTGCTCAGAAAGCTAATGTTAACATACAGCAGAGTTAAGTTAGGAATTAGTGGAACACTTCTATACAGTATTCACATTAGAGGAGTATCACGCGCTTCGTGTAAACTGCAACCCTAACGCCACTCTGAGTGCACACCCCTTTTTAAAGAATTTGGTATCAGACTGACAAAATAGTCACTCCAGTTTTGTCTGAGTCAATAAGTTACAATGTTTTTCCTTGCAGAAAGACAAATTCTTTGTGTATGAGGAGTACTGTAGCAACCATGAGAAAGCACTCAGACTGCTGATGGAGTTGAACAAGATCCCAACAGTGAGAACATTCCTTCTGGTAAGCACCTTCTCTAGCACTCTTGACTTAATGATCTGACTTTGCACTGTACTCATAATAACCCTTTGGTATCCCAGGAACGCCGGGCATTTTGCAGATATTACCAATTCCAGGTATGCAGCACTCAGAATGGATAGGTGTTGAAATAACTGATGAGTTCAGGCACAGAACTAAGCACAGCTCTGGTATGAGTGATTTCAGTGGAAACAGGGAAGTTTTTTCTTTTCTTTTTTTAAAAGAAGCAACAGAAAACTTGAGCAAAGATTGTGAAAGGAGTAATGCAGTAAGTCAGCAGCAGGGCTGCGACTAGTTCCCAGGGGATCTGATTCCCCGCTCAGTTCTCTGACCAATTCACCATCTGCAGACCCACCAGAAAAATGTGGCCTGCTTCTGACACCCTTTTCCCCATGAGTCCAGTTGTGGGCAAGAAATGCAGTCTGGATGAATTCTTTTGACTGCGTCATTGCTGCTTGTGTCAAAAATGACCCAACTCCCCATCCGACCCATGATGTATTAGTATCTATATTGGGAGCGACTGGCATACAGCTTTCAAATGCCTCCATAGGGGCTGGGAGGAGAAACAACCAGTAGACAGTGCCTTCTGCACAACATTCCTTATTTTTCTTTCTTTTCTTTGATGTTTCTCCTCCTAGCCTTCACCCCAATTCTGCTTGATTTTTGGGTGTCTTGTTTTCCTGGCCATGGATGCATGGCATTTGGAATGGGGTTGGCATGTAGGTGAGGAACTAATTCAGCACATTGTCATTTTTCCTTAGTAAATGCTATGTGGTAAAAGAAAGGCTATCTTTTTGCAAAGGACCTGCTCTTCTTCCTTTCTTTCTGCTCTTCTTCCTTTCTTTCTGCTCTTCTTCCTTTCTTTCTGCTCTTCTTCCTTTCTTTCTGCTCTTCTTTCTTTCTTTCTGCTCTTCTTTCTTTCTGCTTTGCCAAAGGTCTGCTCTTCCCCGATAGAGTACAGCAAAAGAAAACTTCTGCATGAATGTCTGTTACAAGCAGGGCCAGAGCATTCTTTTAGCCAAAAATACAGGCCTCGGGGGGAGCAGCTGGGACAAGCACTCGTGCTATTGGGTAGTCAGAATCTCTTTGTCATGTCTGAGTTTTAATCAACCTTGTTAAACCATTAGTTTGATTCACAGAATGACCCTTTCCTAGTTCCTCTAGGTACTTCTGTTGAGGGAAACTAATGAGAAAGAGGAGAGACAAAAGTGCATGTAAACACCATCCTTCCCAACATTCAGAGTGTTCTCCACTTCCACTGGATTGGCAAAAGCCTTCTGTCTGTGTTACCGGCACCAGCTGGCAAACTGATTACAAGGCACATAAAAGATGTCACGCTGTCTGCTGTGGCTTGCTGCAGCACCTGAATCTAAGAGACTCTTAAAATAGCAGTAAATGTGGGAGGAGAGGCTACGTTGAAGTGTCTACCTTGCTGTGGCTGCTATAATTTCTCCCAGGCTTCCCTTCTCTTCTCCACTGCCTCCTAAAGCCAATGCTATAATGCCACTATGCAGAGAAAACTGCATTAAAATACAAAGCTTTGCTTGTGAGGATAGATTTGGCCCGATTGCCCCCTCACAGCTGCTGAAATATAGAATGTGGGAATGTGTTTGAAAAATCAGTGTTAAAGGGCAGTTTTGAGCCCAGAGCTAGAGAGAGGGCTGAAAGAAGAGACGGGAAGGACTGAATCACTAGAGACTTGGAAAATTGGACAGGGAGCACTGTGAGCTGGTAGCCAATGCCACAGATCTAGAATAGCCTGGGGAAAGGTTATTTTACAGATGATTGTCTGTAAAAATACCAGTTAGGACTAATGAGATTTATGTATGATGTCCGTGAACATTCCTGAAGAGGATTGTTGAACTACAGCCAAAAACCCACTAAATTTCAGAGTGTGTCTGAGCCACAGCACACATTTCACAGGGGAAAAAGTTATCGGTGATGCCCAAAGCAAGCACATCTTGGCTGAACTGAATTTAAATTTCAGCTTCTCTTGACAGGACAGATTTGCAGCTGGGGTGATTTTTGGAGCAAAGTTGTCCAGATTCGTGGTCGAACACAGGAGTGTAGTCTAGTGTATCTGAAATAGATTTGAAGTCTGTCTGAGTCCACTACCTGTCTCTGGCAGCAGCCCATAACAGACTCTTCAGGGAGATGTATAAAAAGCTTACAGTAGGTCAGTATTTGTTTATCACACAGAGATTACAGATTATTGTGACAAAATAAGGACAGGTCAAGGACTGTGGATTTTTTTTTTTTTCGATGCCATACCCAATTCTTATACTCCCCTTCCATGTCAATCCTGAGAAATGAATTTCCATAATCTACCGAGAAGTTGAGCATCACTTTTTTTGAGGTAGTGTGCACAAATTTTCTGTGAAATGATTCTTCTGGAATGCAGGGCACCTCCAAATTTGTGTGAACTCATTGTGTGAGTATTGCAAAGGTTGATCAGTTGCTGCTTCTGTTTCTCAACCTAAAATCTATTTGGACTTGGATTTCTTTGGTGTATTGATCCAATACTTGTCCCCTTCCTTACTGTGTTTAAACAACACTGGGAGAGTAGTAATTTTTCTAGGTAGAGAAATGCCCTTCACCTTCTTTCTGTTTGGAAGTCAGAGCTTCACAAAATTAATGCTGAACCCCCCCCCCCCCCTTTTTTTTTTTTATGACCATCAGAATTAATGAAATCTGATATCCTTAAATTTCATTGCCTCTTGCACCTTCTACCTACAAGGAAGCCTTGCCTGCATGTCCCATAGCTTTTTTTCCTGGGCAAACAGCAACATGTGCTGTGACTGGTTGAGAGCTACAAGTGTGCTGGTTAGCCAGCCAGTGCGCCCATGCTGTTTGTCCAGCTGTGCTTAGACATAATGTTTTGCCAGAGAATTGGTGGATGTGATACAGATGACTAATTTATTTCAATTGCACTTTGATTTCCTTCAGACATAAGGATTGGACTAGAGTTAATTCCATGATTACTAGTTAGTAGGCTTTATTTTAGCCTTCAAGAGTTATCTGGACCAACAGTGCAAACTTTGCATAGTGAACGAAGACAAATGGTCGTATCAGTTGTGGGGGTAGACTGGATTGTTTTAGATAATGGTGCATCTAGGTTTGCTGATTGTCATCGTATTGTTATGACACTTTTTGAGTCACCAGCTGTGTAATATTTCTCTGGGAAGATACCTTTCTACACAGCCACTGTTATCCACAGCAAATTTTATTTTGCTGATGCACAAAGAACTTTACAGGCTTGATGGCTGTATTTCGGTGGTGAATGAAGTCCCATTTTCTGTGTCTTAGGTGTGGCAAAGTGCTTTCTGACCATAATACATGTTACAGGAATACAAAATCGTGTCAAAGAGCATCTGCAAGCTTTGTGTCTGAGGTAACGTTTGTTTCCTTTTTTGATTACAGGGTTGCATGCTTTTAGGAGGCAGAAAGACGACAGACATTCCACTCGAGGGTTATCTGCTGACTCCAATTCAGAGAATTTGCAAATATCCACTTCTGCTTAAGGTAAATCAAAGAAAGTATTTCTCCAGATGGTTGTTTTATTCTTGGAGTGATTCTGCAGGTTTTTAGCCCTGACTTTTGTTGTCACTACTACCTTCCTGGTTTGCACTTCTAAAAGTTGGATCCTCTCTGAAGAAAATAGCTTTTTATGGGTACAGTCAAAAAGCTGGCAGATGCTGACAGGCTGCTAAATCTTGTAATGGTGTGGGTAGACCAGACAGAGTAACTTACTAACTAATGCCTTTCGACTTCAGTTCTCTTCAGACGTTTACTAAGGCTTGTGAGTGCTATTTTAGCCACTTCCTGAAAAGCTGTGTTCAGATAGAATTGTATCAGTGTTCTGAGGGACTGGATGGCCCTGGGGACTGGAAATGGGATACATCTTTCATCACGAGGTCTCTAGTTTGAGTGTGTTCAGGTCAGTAATGATCAAAATCCTGTATCATCTGACAGCTGTTTGGCGGCTTGTTTGAAAACTGTTTGGTCGTCTCAGATGAGTTCCCAATGGACAGGTGTCATTGCAGAAATGACTACTGCCATTGGCACTAATTGGCCCCCTTGCTAGTATTCTTACTGTAGGAGTTAAAGAATAGAAGACCTAAAAAGAGCTACCTTGCCTCTCATCCCTCCAGGTCAGGGGTGGGTCACATGCCTGGTGGGGACAAGGAGAGGGAAGAGGAGGAAGCAGTTTCTGGGGGAGCTTGCATCACTGGTGGCCTTGTAGCTACTTTGTGGCTAACAGCCATCAGTCTTCAGTGATGTCAGCCTCTTTCTCAATCAGAGTAACATTACATTTAGTAAAAGGAAATTAATTAATAAAAAATATAAGAAGAAATTGCCTCGTATTTTGAAAGAAAGGTCCCTTCTTGAGTTGTGGAAGAAAGTAAGAATTTTGTGATCAGCTGGTGCTCTTGGTCACAGGCTGACCACAGGAATCAACTGTATGTCATGTAAAGCTATTACAGTGCTGTGTCCATACATTCAGCATGAATAAGGGTTTTCATAGGTACAAGCTGGTTAGCTCAATACTGATCTGTTCCATTTAAAATTGTTAGTTTAATTTGATAAATGTTTAAATTATTTCTTTCCATCCACCCAATTGGAGCTTTCAGAGCCAAATTTTCAAAATGTGTCTTTTGTACAGGTGGAATCATTCTGTTGTCTATGCAGTTGTGCACAAACCCATCTTACAGCAGACATTCATGCACCGTTCCTTGTGGACCTAGCTAATGGGATTTATGTGTATACAGCCAGTTTATCAGTCCAGTCAATCTATCCACGACTCCACTTACAGTTTGAACAAACAAAAGCACACGCAATTTAGGCACATAGCAGGAGAAGCTAATGTGTGATACTGCTACAAACTTTTCTTCCACAGTATTCGTAAGAGTCAAGACAGGGCAAGGATGCCTAGATCAGGAAAGCATGTAAATGGCTCCGGCTCTGAGTTATCTTCGGCGAGGATT